CAACACTTGCTGCTCTCTCTAATATTGTACAACTTCCCTGACTCATTCTGTCTCCTCGAATACTCTACTGATTGATAACGCGTTGTCAACGGTTTTCTTTCGAAGTATATGTATATACTACATATATATGTTTTTTAATATACAATTCCACAGCTTCCCTCGACGGAGCAATTCGCCTCCATCTGCATAATTCCAGCTCCCCCATTTTACTCCGACGAGCGTTTATTAAAACATTTTATTTCAATTGCGCATAAAAGAGTTTCGATTTTATTATGCCTGGCTCCGGCTGTCAATTCAACATTAAATGCATCTGACGTTTTCCAATGAAACGCAACAATGTCGCTGCTCATTGTTTCAGAAGGAGATACAGGTTGAACGTTTGCAAATAAAAAAAAAGGGGGCCATGCATTGCCTTTACATAAGGGGGGGCTGTCTGGAAAAGAATATTGTCATTAAATAAAATCCATAGTATGGGGTTGGCGGCAGATTAATCGCGCAATACGCTTTAAGTTACCGAAGGGTTGTAAGAGTGCTCCGCTTATTGGGTTTGCTTTTGTTGTTTTGGGTATGTTTGTATTTTTATCCATTCTCCTTTTATACACTGGTAGGTTTTATTTTGCTTTCTTTTTTCGCATGGGGCGCTGATGAATGGGGATTGCGGTGAATAATTAATTGTAGAAACACATGGGGCTGCAAATAGTCTGAATGTGTATGTGTATAATATTTATTTGTTAATCTGATATGTGTTTGTAGTGTTGCGGCGATGTCCGGCACATATGTCCGGCTGCGGGGGGGGAAAAAAAAAAAAAGAAGAATCGAGGGCGGCGGCGGTGGCTCGCGGGGTTTGGCGAAGGGCGAAAAATGCCATTGTCGCAACCCTGTGTGCACAATTAATATAAGTATCTGGCAAACGCGTTTACTGTTATTGTTATGGGCCGAACTTTGAATTTGAATGCGTGTAATTTGTAAGGGCGCTTTAATGCCCAGCGCCAAGATGTACAGATTGCATAATGCAGCATTGGAAATGTGCCATACAGTTAGCGCTAATGTTATTATCCTATGGAGGACCATAAAGACTAGAAAGGATTATGCGATATTTTAGCCGTAGTCACCGGCGAAATGCCTTATCGAACAAATTTAATCATCATATTTCTCTTGGGGATGCCCCCGATACGGTGAGCTTCCCCAGAACACAAGATGAAAAATAAAAATATCATATAAATATAAACCGAATATAATAACTAACAACACATCCAATATCCTATACTATACTTCATTATTTATCTCGATCCAAACCAAAGAAACGAAGAAATAAATACACGTTGCAGATAATAATTTCATAACAGTATAGAAGTCGAATAAATTGATAAAGTTTATCTATAATATCGAATTAAGGTGATCTAATTACTAAGCTTTCTTGTTAATTACGTGATTGTATCATTTGATTACTATATATGAAAATGACCAATAAAATGTTTTACATTTTCTATGAAATTTGTATTATGTAAACATTGTTATCATTTTAAACACGTAATGCAATTTTGTTTGAGATTGGAAATTTTCAGGCGCCATAAATTTATTCCGACACACAATATGTTTTTGGACCCCTGCACCAACCGCCAAACACATCAATGTGTTTTTGACATAGTTTTCGACGTGTCGGAAATTCAATAGGACAAGGGGACGACATCGCACCCTCAACTATTTCCATAATTTGGCGAAAACAGAAATTAAGATATTGCAATCGAATAAAACCGTTCTTTTTTGTTTTTGTTGTGGAACCCCGTAGGGGGATGGGATTCCATAATAAGAAACGAACTAATTTCGGGAATCGAGAACTAAGCTCATCATGTCAACGCAACGTTGCAGTCCATTAATCACTGGGATTTACCTTAGCATCGCGGGGGGGGGGCTAACTACTTGAACCCCCGTTTTAGTAGATTGCTGGCCGCCCCCC